TGAGCCATCTTTCTCTCCGTCTCTGTCAAACCCAAGGGGCCTTATCAGCTCTCCAGAGTGAAATCTGATGGGTTTTTCAAGCTGAATACATGATGACTGCACGAACAAATGGAATTGACATTTTATATTAGGGTGTAGGAAATTGAAGCGACATTCGTCAAACATTGTTGGCTAGATGAATAGCAGACGAGGCAAAATATTTCCTTATTTGGTGCAACGCAGTGTTGTGCCCAATTCACCTTCGTGAAATAAAATGACAATTTCCGTTGTTTGCCCTGCGAAAAAAGATTATATGAAATATGTTTATCCATTCAATCAATGAAAGCAGCAGGAATTTTTATTTTATTACGTCAGTTCTCGGTTCCTTCCTGATAGGGTTTATTTTTACTGGGAACATTATTAGTCAGTAGATTGCCAGACCAAAGTCATTACCTTCAAGGTACATATCAGCCTCGCCGAGTGTTGCCTGCCCTGTATCCATGATGGCTCGTTAGGGGTCCATGGCAGGGTTGATACCAGCTGGAGAGACGCTGCACGTATGTACGTTGAACTTCTTTCGCCCTGTACGTAGCCAACTGTGCCAATCGGAGGTGCTGTGCTGAAACACTAGTGTTTGGTGCCTGCGGGTAGAGGAACAATAATTCGCCCACCCGGCCAATTTCAAGGGGTTGTCATTTTTTTATGGCCGCGACAATTCAATGCAATGATAGTGCCTCGAGTGTCTGCGTGGGTGATGTAAACCCCCATTACATGATGTTCGAATCGAAAATCTTCGATTTTTTCAATAAACGGCTTGATGAATCAGCTTAAGATGAGCTTAAGAATCAATGTTAATCGAAAGTACCTTGGTCTCGGAAAAAAACAATATCATGCGAGATGAAGGTACTCTGCAAACCTCCGGGCTACTATCAAAGATTTGTCCATGAAGCCATCCAGATATATAAACACAGAGACAATTTCAACCGAGATGGGTATAAGCTGAGCAATCATTGGAAGGACGTTATTAACAAAGCTAAGTCGTAACTTGCTGTGGTGCTTCCATTCTTCCGTGCCGTTTGGCTGTTATCTGCGACTCTCTGAGTTGCGTTGCCCTGTTAGGTGCCTCTGCATTAACGGACTGGGGCATCACTAACATGGCCACCTCTGTTCCCTTAGCCTCGATGTACCGATGGTTCTGGCTGTGTGATGGGCTTTGTGTGTCTCACTGGCGCGACCACCGTTGCTGTGGTTCTCTTGCGTGGACGTGCTTGCCTCACAGCGCAGTTGGCAGGGCCGCAGCTTGTGTTACACATAGACATGGCATTAACTTACTAATCCCCCTAATCTCTCCCATCAACATAGTGCTAATCTTCCATTAACACTGCTGTTCTGCGCATATGCGGGGATGATACTCTTATGCGGCGACGGAAGGTGATTTCATGCTAATATCTCTACCTAATCTCTCTTTCCCTAAACTACCCCATTAACACAACTGACGTGCTTGCGTCCAGGGATGGAATTCCTTTCCAGCTGAGACCCCGCTTGCTTGCCCATCGCCACATAAACAACCTCTTGTTGTAACAGCTCTCTCGCTGGTTCAGCAGTTCCACTGCTGGATTATTTTTTCAGCCTGTGGACGACCGCTTGTGTTGCGATCGAAACGTCGTGATATATTATTTTTTGTTAAATTTTTCTACCCACGTGACTTTACCGAAAGAACCAAAGAGTATGATTTCCTGCAGTCACGAAAGCTTCAAATCAAGTTTATAATTGAACTTACTTTATCTCATCACTTCAACTCATCACTTTCTCGCAACACATTTGCTCTCATCACTTTATTTAATCACTTTCTTTCTCTCTCTCGATGCAGTCATGTAGCTTTCCGGATGCGATTTACGGATAGCCAAAAGCGCGGATAGCAAGTTCGTGAATGACAGTAAATACTGGACATGAGCCTTGAGTCAAGGGGGAGTGTCGCTCCTTCTCTGCTGATTTCCCTTTCCGTATCTGGAGTGCTGACTTTCTCCTGTACAAAAGCAGGCTCAAGGCTTACCTCTTATCCTGTTCCCATGCCTGCCTCACCATGCAGTATCCTCATTTGTACCGTGATGTGATAGGGCAAAGCCACGTGGCAGATGCGGCTACCTCCTGTGCCGATGGACGATTCAGAAGAGCCCACAGTGTGACTGCGGTCACAGATCTCAAAGCATGGACCAAATAGGGACACCACTGCTCGCTTCGGTCATTCGTCGGTGGCATCTAAGATATTCACCGTTAGGTTACTTGTGAAGATGCTATCCAGAATCAGACTATTTATTTATACTGGAGGAATCCGATGAGCCAAAGCTCTTTTTCACAGATGTCCAGTCGGGGCGGGTCAGAACGTTACAACAACAAAGAATATCCACTGGCTCACTCGCCCACTTCTACGTGACCATAGAAACACTTCTTATTAACTACCTACCTATTGCACGAGAGGAGATTTGCCTTCTGGCATCCTGTCATCTTTTTCCCCTCCCCTCTGTACCTTTTAGTTTACTAGCCCCTCGCACCTTTCCCTCTGAAAAAAAAATCTTAAAAACGTTGTCTCCCCTTAAACCGCACTTGATTCGCATATCTTCCACCGTCTGTTTGAGACGAGGCTGCAATCAGATGCTATATAAATCCAGACCGCATCGCGTTGTTTGCTTCCCGTGAGCATTTTCACGAACGCTGCCAGTAATGCCACTCTGCTCTCGTTATTTGCGGCTCGAGAGCAAGGGACTTAATTTCACACGGCGCTGATCAGGGTACTCCAATCATTTCTCAATTCGGCGCTGAACAATCGGCGTGCACGAAGCCGCCTCGCGTGATCTGAAACCGATGTACACATTCGACGTTGGACATTCTTTTGTTAAGTGTTGGCGCTGCTTCTTGCAATCCCATCCCTGGCTCCGCGGCGGTTTGAAACTGATGGGCAGTTTGAAGAAAGCGGCGTGTTTTTGTCTTTATAGCGGAAAAGAGAACATTCTTATTTTGTGATCTGTGGGACTGCACTTTGTTCGAGTGTAACATGTAATTTGAAATGGTTGTTAGTAATTTTGAGAAAATTGCTGGGCAGCGCGCTTGCTGTCCTGCAAAATTCCCATTATAAATCGGCAATTTCCGTTGCTTTGGACACAGCGTAATTAAGCTCACAGCCTTGGATTAATTATTAAATATTCGTATCTGTTGAACTTTCAGTTGGCGGAGCAGTGAGTTCAAGTTTTCTTCTTTGAAGATATTGTAATTGTGTGTTTATTGTTTTATCATTGTAATTATTTATGCAATTTGTTTATATTCTGGCTATAAATAAATCCTGGAGTGTTTGTTCCCCTTTTATCTCTCCGCACATTAAGGAAAACAATTTTTTTCCTCTTTCAAGTAAAATTACTGGGATCTAATGAACTTTTACTGGACAGGCAAAGCGCTGTGATAAATAGCCACCGGAGTGCCTGATGATTTATCATTGTCGCTCCAACGATCATGAAATGTTCCTACTCTCTCTCTCTACAGCTTGCTTTGCTATTCATGAGAGGTAGAATAATTCACACATCCCCATTTCTGGCTCACAGTCGATTCCTGTTTCTAACATTGCGGTGACTGACAGCGCCTATAGTTGCTGCAGGGTTGATGTAAACCCATCATATACAAAACATATACGAATTGTAAAAAATTTAAATATCGATTCTAACATATGTGAATCGGTGCATGCATCATGAGCTTGGATGGAACGACATCGCGGGGGATGGCAACAACGTATGTAAGCCTTCAATCCGTCAGTGGGTAGAATATAGTATTTTCCTGTCCTTGCATTGCACCTTCGATTTTCCTTCCCGCGCACCTCCGATGAGCACGGTTGGGTATATACAGTGCGGAAGGAATTCAACATACATCAAACGCGATAGATGCGTCCCTGAAAAGTGCCTCGTTAAGCGGAAACGCTTTCAATGAAAACAATTTCCCCATAAGAAATCATGTGAAAGATGGGGGTTGCAAGATATGATGTACGCACACAGTGAGAGATGGCGTGACAAAGTACTGAGATGAGGGTATGCCGTCAAGCACATCCTATCATTCCGCGTGCATACCCAGAATTCCCATACCGCTTAGCCACGCACGTCTAGAAAGTAGTTCGTTGTCGACCGATCGGAAACCGCATTGTAATGGGAACGTTCCGCGTTGTGTGAAAAGTGTTCTCAAGTTGAAGAACTGCGTTACAGCGAAAATGCGTCGTGCGGAGACGCGTGAAGCGATGACTTGCCGTATAGCTGATTAAGATGATCAAGCACAAGCTCAAATTGCTATTGATGATTTGGGGCAACCAGGATTGATTGTCACACGTTGCACCAAACTGCACACCGGCGCACTCTCCTACAAACGTACACTTGTGTAATTTAACGTTACCGCATGTTTAATTTCTAAAGTGTGCTTTAGCAAGTGAGATTGTGAGGCTTCCGTAAATACAACGCCTATTTATGTATGTGTCAGGTACTTGGTGTTCAAATGTTTTGAGAAGGAGATGTTACAGCATGTCTGTAAACTGAATACAAAGAGATAGGGCCTCCAGATAACCCACGTTAGGATCGTATTGTAAAGTCCCTTAGACTTAGATGTTATGCGGTGATTTATTGTGTTTATGGTAAGGAACGTTCCTTCTTTTAGCATTACATCTTCAAATACTTAGACGGCTGCTTGTGCATTCTATGTATCTTTATTAAATGTATACCTTAACTCGTGCCATGACTAAAACATCGGATGGATGGCCGGTGATTGTTCGTGCCTATAGGCTGATATGGCACTCCTCATATCTTCATGCTTAGAAAAACATTTAAAAAAACTAACTAGGACAATTACGGAGATTTCCATCAGCTTGCTGCTTGCGTAAGTGTGCTTGTGGGAAATTAAGACTCCATTACCCCAGTGAAATTGGTAATTACGTACTTGCAATTGTGACCCCTTTTGTTTGTGTGTGTGTGTGCGCGTGTGCTCTGTAACTCTAGGTTGGCTACCCCAACGTTGGCAAGAGTTCCACCATAAACACGATCCTGCAAAATAAGAAGGTCCCAGTGTCGGCAACACCGGGGCGGACCAAACACTTCCAGGTATTTTGTCAACCCTGGCCTTTGTGTGTGTGTGTTGGTTCATCGCAGTTTTGGGTAGTGGTAGTGGTGGGAGTATGGGGAGCTGTTGGCGCGTTTTTCTGCGAACCCGGCGAGCAGGGTTCGATTCCTGCTCACGGCCAACACCGGTGATTATTATCTGAGTTGCTACTAGGCCTCCCCCTAGGTTGACTCAGCCTCAAATGAGTACCTGGTGCGCTGTGTTTACATCGCCACTCGCGAGACAAAAGCGGCTGGGCGTGGTGCTGGCCACCAACCCCCTCATGTGCCGTGCCGGCCTTCATAGGTGTTCGCTAACGGCACTCGCTCTGACAGTCTGTTATGGCTTATACGGTTGATCTTTGTCTTTGGTGGTAGGAGTCAAGACGATAAAGAACAGAGCTGTTTTACCAATGAAAGCCTCACGAATGCTGCATACCCATGTGCCATTAAAAGTAGCATTTTTTAAAATGTAATAACCTGTTTATATATCATACGAACCTTTTAATAAAAATTTGACATGCCAAATGTACAGTGGGTTGGTCAAACACACCAAATCAGAATCCGCGGACCGTCTTGCAACTCGACGAGACTTTGCTTAGAAACAAGAAAAGAACAATATATGTGCTGAAGAAGCTTTGAGTTTTGTATAAACCTCGCCTCCTATGAGAAATTGTTAGGTCCACTCGTGTGTCCTGGACTGTCGCCCCCACTGCTGCCCCACAGTGATGCTGTGCAATTAGCGTCTTCCTTCCCACTCTGACGCAAACTGCTTTCTAAACAACGCCCTTAACAATAATATACAATAACTTCACCCCAAGGTCATCGGTATTTTTAAGATTACTATTATTCAGTTGACCTGGACCTTGTATTCATAACCAACATTATTTTTCCTGTTCTTGCATATGGATTTGTGTAGCAACTCATGCTTTGTACTAATGTCTACAAGAGGGCAGTTTACATTACGTTTTTTTGTTATTAAACTTGTTCTCTTAGAGGGTGAAAAACGCAAGTACTATATTTGCAAGTATAACATACGATAATGACAATTAAATGTACATACCTCTGTTTACCTCCACATATATATATTAACTCGGTTTTACCTTCCAATATATATTGGTTTTCCAGACCAAAATTGTCCAGCAGCATTTGTTCAAACAAGTCAACTCTCAACATTAGTCAGGGTTGTTGAACAAACGCCGCTAAACTGCCATATGTTATTTGGAAGAGCACTCCCATTGTGTAATATTTTAATTGTGTAATATTTTTATTCGTCTGCCATGTGCCAAGCATTGTGCATGGGAAGTAGTGCAGCACCCCTCGTGTGGATAACTAGTAGTCACTTGAAGGAATCTCGTAAGTTATTCTGTGACATCTCCTTCACTGCTTTTGCGCAAGTTTCCGATGGATTGTTCTTCTTATGACCCGACGCTGATAGGACAATGTGATATCAATATTGAGATACAGACAAAAAAAATATGTAGGCATTCCCTCTCCAAGGACCTTATTCAGTGGGCCTGGTTTATATTCTGAGATGGGACTGTTCGGGTCTCAAGATTAGTAGTATACATTTCACTCAACCCTCAAATCTCTTCTTCCCCCTTAGGTGGGTGTGGCTGAGTTAAGCACAGCCGCTGATTTAATGCAACGAAATGGTTTTATTCTGCTGTTATTTGTAAATCGGCTCAGGCTGGAAAAAGCTCCCAATACGAGAACACCTTCTCTCCAAGATGTTAACTGGATGGTTTGAGTCAACGTTGAAGGTGTTTGCTCATTAATCTCTGCACACAAACCGCTCTGTGGATTCCTGGGGAGCCAGTGCATTACAAGCGACATGCAAGCTGGCTCAATATACTAAGATAGTTTTCTCCTTAAAGATTTATACCCAGGGATAGATTTTAATCCATTGTGGCAATCCTTTACAGAAGGCGGGCACTCGATCAACAATGAGAACATTGATTTGGGCCTGATTTAGAGGAAAGCACAGTTTGTCTTTGCCTTTCTCTTGATTTTAAGCATTCACTATTAGCTGAATTTCATTTTTTTTTTTCTTTTGTCAACCCACCCTCTGCCTACTGTTGGATTAGGTCCTAATTATAATATTGCCTCTGTCTGCAGTTGCATGTCGTTGATTTCACGATTTCTCCCCTTTGGTTGTACACGAGTTATGTGCTGTTTGCTTTTTTTTGCTGTTCCACACTGTTTTTAGAAAGAAGAATGCTGCGGGAGCTGCCTCCATTATTAAATGGGCCAGAGTAATTGGCCATTAAAAAACCCAGTTTGAAATTTTGAGTCATTTAATTCACCTCATTGAGGGAACCGTCCCAGCTGCCATGCTTTTGTATGCACAGTGATGTATATGAGCAACGCAACTTTTTACCCGTGACACACCATGGGGAAGGGTAGTAGAGTCAAGGATAACGTGTTAATGTTGGGGATGAGAGAGGCCAGTGATAAGAGGGGGAGGGAAGAGAGAGAGAGAGAAGGAATGAGCGAGCAGAAGTGAGCTGCACGGAGACCAGCGTCTGTTCTCACAGGGGGCGGGGAAAGGGGAAGGACTCGGGAGTGGGGGTGGCCACAGAGACGTCACGTGATTTGCTGATCTCATCAAGGAGCATAAACCATCACGCAAACTCCGGTCATCCCCGCAGTAGCGGCTTTTGGTTTGTCATTGAGCAAAGAAGGTCACTGCTTCGCGCGCTTTTATTTGCACTTCTGCCGCCGTCTGGAACACTATTCCTTCTTCTTGGTTCTTTCCGTAAAGTCACGTAGAAGGGAAACAATAAGATAATAGAAAATATAAAACAATAAAATTCTCATGACGTTTCGACTGCAACACAAGCAATCATCATCAGGTGTGAAAACCACAGCAAGAAAATTTGAAAAAGTGGCGTTTTTTATTTTTTTAACGTAAAAAAACCCGCCACTTTTTTTCAAATATTCTTGCTGTGGTTTTCACACCTGATGATGATTGCTTGTGTTGCAGTCGAAACGTCGTGAGAATTTTATTGTTTTACATATTTTTATTATTTTATTGTTTTCCTTCTACGTGACTTTGCCGAAAGAACCAAGAATATGAATCCCTGCAGTCACGAAAGCTTTAAATCAAAACTATTCCTTCTTTTATTAGGAATCCACTGGAGCTATGCACTTTTAAATCTAGATTGAAAACTAATTTCTTTAGAACTGCTTTTTGTGTTTAGTTTGTTGTCCTTCCCCCGCACCTCTGATTAGCACGGTTGGCTACGTACAGTGTGAAATAAGTTTAACATACATACGTACATTTACGGGAGACTTGAGCTGATTTAGTTATAGAGATGAATTGAGAGTATTTTTTTAAATCTTTATTTATGCAGAAAATAAAAATATATTGGAAGGATCAACTGTAATGTTTTTCTAAACCTCCCTTAGCTCTCTATCCTCGACACGGAGTGAAGTTATGTCTTGCATAGACTCAAACATGCCGTGAATACAGACTTGTGGTGGTATGTAGGAGATGGCACATGCTATCACATTGGGCAATGTTTTACCATAAACAGAAGATATTGGTGAAATAAAGTGCTCTCCGCAAAAATATGAAACGGAATCTTGTGACATTTAACTGACAGTTTTATCAGCCACAGGCAATGATATTTTAATCATTTTTTTCAAAGCCATTACACTACAAATGTGCATAATGTCAGCCTTGCTGTACTGACATTTTTTGCATATGGTGCATTTATAAACTTGCGTAGAGACCCACGTAGAGACCCTTAGACTCGCATGCTTTGTATCTAAGAACCTTTAGTTTGACAAATCCTGTAATGTTTTACGGTATGGGTTAGACACTGGGTCACTTAACACACATAACTAGTGTAATGGCAACCTCAGCCTCACTTCAAGTGAAGTTCCGGGTATTTAAAATAGTAAATGTGCATCCCTGCAATTTCTTCCTCATACTACTGTTGGCAGAATGACCTCCAATGGAGGGTGCCCTAGAGTGCCCCTCTCGATGATAGTTTGGCCCACTCCACCATGCTGGCCAGGTGTCTTGGAAGAGATGGGAGTACCCACAAGTTACCCCACCGCACACGGCCTGCCAAAACCGGCTTCGTACTACTACTGCTGGCTGGAATATGTAAGTGCATGTTAACCCTTTCCTTTTCCGATGACGTTCGTGTACGTCATCAGTTTTTTTCCCTGATTCCGTTCCGATGATGCACCTGTACATCGTCGATTCGGGATGAATGGGGAGAAAAACTAAAACAAAGGGTTAAATGAACCCGGTAGCCAGCAAAACCAAGGGGCTCTGAAACGCTTCTGGTACCGTTCGTGTGACGTTAAGCAATGTACACTCCCCATGTGACACACCAGGAGACTCTTAACACCAAGTTCCACTTGTGGTGGCGTGCAGTTGTTTCACGTAATTGAGAGCGTGTGGCAATTTCTTATCCGGAGTCTTAAACAGAGTGCGAACCCACCTCTAAAGGGTTGTGATTTTAAGTGTCGGGCTTAAGTTTGCATATTGGTGGTATGGATTAAGTTATGGGTCATGGGTCAGGTTAAGTTTTGAGGATTGGGGTCAGGGATTATGGGAGGCTGTGGTGAATGGAGAAGGCATGTGCTCATGTTAACTTGCGGATTATTGCACGTTATTTTGTTTTGAGTGAGTTTTTAGTCGAACTGGGAGCCAAGTGTTTTAAATACGAAATCCCCATGACAGAGAATTCAGGGAGAGAACAGGTTATACGAGGCTTTCCGAATGCTTTTAGTTCAGAGTAGAGTGGGAGTAGAGTAAGAGAAGGTGACCCAGGCTACGCAGTACTCGCGCTTGTTAATATTCGGTAATTTTTTTTGTACAAATATGAGCCTGTACATCGACAGACAAAAACAAGTATTAATAATGTCGTTTTTGCATCCATGAAAGCCCTGCTGAGTCTCAGCACTTTTGAGTGGGTCCTGCATTGGGATGTTTGGCCAATTCCATGAATAAGTATTTGGCTTGTAGGAATTCACCAGAATACGTGGAGGAAGACTATTATTGATTTGAAGCTTTCGTGACTGCAGGAATCCATACTTTTTGGTCCTTTCGGTAAAGTCACGCAGGTAGAAAAAATAAAAGATCACGACGTTTCTATCGCAACACAAGCAACCGTCATCAGGTGTGAAACAAACGCAGCAGGAGGACTGCTGATGTAGCAGTCCTCCTGTGAAACAAACGCAGCAGGAGGACTGCTACGTCAGCAGTCCTCCTGTGAAACAAACGCAGCAGGAGGACTGCTGACGTAGCAGTCCTCCTGTGAAACAAACATAGCAGGAGGACTGCTACGTCAGCAGTCCTTCTGCTGCGTTTGTTTCACACCTGATGACGGTTGATTGTGTTGCAATCGAAACGTCGTGATGTATTATTTTTTTAACCTACGTGACTTTACCGAAAGAACCAAAGAGTAAAGACTTATTATGAGAGTGGTGCGCTTTGCACGGATGGATAAAACGTTTTTTTTTATACCACATTTTTGCCAAAGTCTACAACACCTGGTATTCGAAACCAAGTATTAACCAGGTTGAATTCAGCGTGGCTTCTGAGATATGATTCAGAGTGATTTTGTCTCAGGTCAGATTGGAGCCCAGATTCATAGATGGTCATTTTCCTGTTCCCTGTCCTGAGTTTGATTTCCAGCCATTTGCTGAAATCATGTGGTGAGTAGTAGTAGTACAGTTAATGAACCAGTTCTGGATACCCCCCCCTCCCTTCATCAACCTGCCCTGACCAGAGTGGTGAAGTATGTTCAAACGACCCCCCACGATCAATGCAGCATGGGGTGGGGGTGGGGGGAGCTTAATCCAGAAGCGGATTTCATCCTCGCAGTGGCTTTTGGCTAACCATTGAACAAAGACAGTCACTACATCGCACGCTTTCAGATGCGCTACTGTGGCCCTCTGGAACGCTCTCCCGATATTAGGAAGCCACTGGAGCTATGCACTTTTCAATATAAAGTGAAAACTAATTTCTTTAGAATTGCTTTTTGTGTTTAGTTTGTTGCCCTTCCCCCCCGCACCTTTGACTAGCACGGTTGGCTACGTACGGTGGCTCTATTCCTATGAAGACACACAAACCATTTTCTAACCCTTTTCATGGCACCAATGCAGCTAAAAAAAACGGGATATTGAAATATGCATGCCCACAGCTTATACATGACAAAGGGCCTCTACGAACACGCGCATCCTCTTTCCCGATACAGAGTACTTGACACGTGTGCGCTGCGACGTGGCGACGCGCGAAGCATGTGTCCGCGTGTCTCCTCTCTTAAGACGCTGTTTGTCGACTCGGACCTGTGCCTGTGCGACTGCCCGGGGCTCGTCATGCCCTCGTTCGTGTCCACCAAGGCGGAGATGGCCTGCAGCGGCATTCTTCCCATCGACCAGATGAGGGACCACGTGCCTCCCGTCTCCCTCATATCCTTCTCAATACACGGGCGATCGTGTGGCACATGCGCACAGCTTCCACCCTGTCCAAGGGGCGGACATAACGGGTGGGTTTGCCCCCTCACACTAAAGAGGAGACCCGCAAGCGGTCCTGTTGTGCTGCAAATATTATTGTAATTTCCCTAATTTAAGCGTACTGTGATGAATGTCTCATTTTTAAAAGCGCTCTTGATATGCCTTCGTTTGAAGGGGACACTGTCGTAAGCAAGTACTATGATTATTTTTTTTATTGTTCGAGCAAATACGTGCTCTTCTGTCACGAGCAATCGGGATGTCATTTTTGAACACAGTGGTGGCATAAGGTGGCTTCACGTTGCACTCTGTCACAGAAACGTATGTGCAGCTTTTACGTAGGCCCGCTGGTTGGTGAGAGACTCCTTGCAGCTTGTGGGGATTATCCGAGATAGGAGAGGCAGACTGAAATCAGAATAAGAATATTTATTCATGTCGGAGGAATCCAATGAGCTGTGTAAAGCTCTTTTTTCACAGATGTCCAGTCTGGGCGGTTAAGAACAAACAGTACAAAAACATGACGTGGGTCGGTCAACCACAACGTGGGGGGAATCGAACGCTCTGGAATGCCTGTGTATGTTTTATGGGACGATATGCAGAGACGCAGAGGTCATTTGAAGGGCCTGTGGAAGGCGCGAGATGTAGGCGTGAGCGTGTAAATGTTCACCACGGCCATGCGCCGAATGCTATATTTAAATCGAAATGTAATTGCATGCAAAATGAAAATTGGAATGAATAAATAAATGAAATAAGTAAATGCCCCAGCCGGTTCCCAGAGCCGTTGCACTGCCGATCGAAAATGTCAGCTGAGAATCGAGTTTGGGAATTTTCTTTGCCGCGTAGTAAGGTTTGAGTGATGTTTCTTGCCATATCATTGACTTTTTACGGCACACCATTATGCACGTCTGTCAAGGCTGAAGATTAGTTATAGTGTATATGGGAAAAACGCATTCTCCCCGCGACTTAGAACCTTGCCGCTGTTATTTTTCAGGTATAGAAAATGTGTATGATTCACATGGGCATACATATGAACACTCGTTCATGGATGAACATGATACAAAGACACAGTGGCATACTGCAATGGCCAGGTTGTCTCCAATATCCTTAAATTTGAACGTCTTGCCATGGGAGATCGAGATCAATTTGCATGTTTATATTCCGATTTTGTTTTTATTATAACGCGGAACAAAATAATTAAGCTAATCTTAATATACAGCATTAAAAAGGCTTTTAGCTACACTTAGCAGCAATAAGCTGTCTTAATATTAATCTTCTTTTAATCTCTAAATGGCTGTATTTTATCGTCACTATAGATGATGGCTGTTTTTTGTTACTGATTTGAAAGGTCATCGTACTGGAAGGCGTTGTAGATATGTAATGATCTCGTTCCCGATAACCCATTCTCTTTACGTGTACACACACGTGAGTCGTGAAGCATGATATAGGTGCAGGGTTTTGAGAAATCCAGTATCAGTAGTACGGAAGGTAGCTTACACACCGTTCTGTGCAGAGTTTGAGGGTTATTCCCTGCTATATATTATCCAGTCACTTGTTTCTCACAACTTGGCGTACATTTACCCACGAAAGTCTCGGCGAGTCTCGGGGATCTTTTTTAGGAGGGTCCTGCATTGCGATCTTGGGCAAAATTCCACTTTTGGTTCCACTTGGCATGTGGCAGGAAACTTGTGTACCTGTAGAAAATGCCAACAAACATGCATACAAGTGAATATCATGTAACGATATACACAGATAGCTTCAATACATTGCTGTACTGTTTTCTCCTAGCCACTCCGCACCATAGATATACAGTTACTTGTGGTTGTCCTGTGTATAGATGAGTTTCCACCATAGGAATGTGTCCTCCACTTGCCCTGGGTAATCAGTGGAGATGTATGTATGTTGAAAATACTTTCGCACCGTACATAGCCAACCGTGCTAATCGGAGGTGCGGGAAATGAGGACCATGATTGATGAGGCAAGTTGCTTGGTCAGGGCTCGGTGTGGGGCACCTCGCAAGATCTGCCGAAGACAGAGCCCTGTGCCTCGGGAGACTCTGTCTCATGGCCAGCCTTCAGATTGAGGAAAGCGAGAAACGAAACGAATTCTGTTGCTAGCACGTTACCGCAGCTATCAACTGCACTTTAACAAAGCGATTTTAATGTAAGCTTCAGGCCTTTTTTTGGCGTCACGATATCAGGAAAGAAGTACACGTTAAACCAAAAAAATGCGATTTGTAGGTCACTTGTGTGGGATGGAGGAGGGCAGGTTACCGCGACAGGCACTGGAGTGGCACTCGGCACTTGTCGACTTCGCTGAAGGCCCTACGGCCAGATGGTGGTGGTGATGATGAGTTTAACGGAGGACCCTTGTAGGTCACGTGTCAAATTTGCTACAGTTGCAAGATCTAGCAGAAGGAGTAAAACAACGGCCAAGCGTGGGTTGGCATAAACGGCTTCGATACCACACGACCTCTCGACCCTGACCTTTTAATTTCTTAATTGGCCGCGCCACGTGTGTCAGCATATCCCCCGGGCCGTGTTGGAAGCCACCTACGGCATCAACATTGTGCGGCCACGGGAGGACGAGGACCCGGACCGCCCCCCGACTGCGGAGGAGCTGCTCTCCGCCTACGGATGTGAGTCTCGCGCTGCCTCTGGCGTCGCCTTGCCGCCATGTTCCATTTTTCGTGAAAACGCTACCTCCTTAACGTTCACGATACGACGCCGATCGCGATGCCAGTTTCCCCTCGCGTTGTGATCGTATTTAGCCATTGTTATTGCATTGTTGTGGGTACGCCAACCTCTTCCGGGGGACTTCTGGCCAGTGTGGAAGAGTAGGCCATTGTAACCCTCTGGGGGGGCCTCTCTCGAGTTCTCCGCAGCGGTGTGCTAATCCCCCGGGCAGTGGTGCGAGCAAGCCATTGCAGAGGCTGCACCGTTCGCCTCTCGCGATTCTCCGCCACCCGTGCTTGCTGCGTTGACCCAAACGGCACTGATCCGGCACGGTTGGAGTGGGGAGGCCCTTCACCCAGCAGTGGATTGACGCTAGCCCTGCACTCCTGGAATCCGTGGCCCATGACGGCCGCGGCCGGGTGTCCCTGCCGACCGCCGGGCTTTGGCCACGACGGCACCGCGGCCTCCCCGCCCCCCCCCGTCGTCAGAATGCGCGCAGGCCAAGGGTGCCCCCCGCCACCTGTGCATTCAAGCGTGCGCGCAGTGGCGGTGGTGAATTTGCGGTGGCGCGCGTCGAGCCAACGCACGATGATCGAGCGTAACGAAAACCAGATGAGATCACGCCAGTGAACGAGGGATGTATTCGTTGGGAAATAACGATGCGCAGCTCATGAATAGCGAATGTTACTGTAAGGCTTTTGTTTGCGAGTGTTATGTAATGTTTTAGTTGTTTGTGCATGCAAACTGCTGATCAGACGCGGTTAATGTTAGAGCACATCCTGAGTGGTTGTTAAATAGGTCTGTTGATTTTTTTTTTTGTTCGTTTAAAAGCGCATTGTCAGATGCATTAAGGCTGAAGTTGTTTATATCAACATGTGAAATGCGTGTGCGCGCTCGTAAAATCCGTGGCTTAATATAAATGTTCTATTAACGCTGATAAGTCAGGGCCTGTTGTGTTTGCCACTTGAACAGAAGTTGGGCATGTAAACCCCCACGGAGATTCGATGAATCATGACAATTTGCAGTCGTGATTTATTTTGTGAATCGATTCCTTTTTTTTTATTTCCGATGTTCACAGTGGTTGTATTTTTTTTTATTTCTTTCATACAGTTTCGTTTATGTCATTAGCATAAATACATCATCACCATTAACAACAAGAAAAATATGAAAGTGTGTTGTTCGGGGAAAAATGGAATGAACCGGAAAGAGATGAAGACCGAAGAGAGAGTGGCTTGACAAAGACATCCCAAGAGATCGGTGCCAGAAAGATGTGGCCACTATTTGAGCACATTGGTACAAGGCAGAGGAAAGTGGAAACTAATGACAAAATGTGCACCTACGGGGTTATATGCCCATGGATTGTGATGGTGACGATGATAGTTTGTGTATAATGTACCCACGTAGAAAAACAGAATCATGCACACCGATTCAGTGCTTATATCTTAAGCTTAAAAAAAAAAACATTTTTGATCTGCGAATCGCTTTATAACTAATCGAACTAAAATTATTGTTCACAAAAGCGCAAATGCCTATCGGATTAATGACAACACGTGCCCCCGCTACATTGCGGAATGTAATCTGCCAGCTTCAAATCGCTGATGAAAAGCAAAGCAAAGTGTGGTGCCTGCTGTTATTGCTTTAGAGTTAAGGCGTCGCACTCAATAATATTGGCGGCGCTGTGCGACCACTGGCCATGACCGACTTAAGAAAGCAAACACGGCGCACGTGAACTTCGCCGATGAAAAATTAAACGTACGTTGCCAAACATCTGGCGCGGATTTTTTTTTCTCCTACCGAGTGACATAATTCTGCACGCTTGTGTCGTCACGTGCTTCAACATTAACATATAAATAGACCCGCGCTCCTTTTAATGCATTAACTTTCAGGCCAACTGAGCTGTCCATATGTCTTTTTTTTTTCCCCTGCAAATAACTGCACTGTGTGCATATTTGCATGAGCGCTCTCGCGAGTTGTTAATAATCTGCCTCTGCAACGCATGCCTGGCTTGGAAACGTGTTAAAGCGCGCTTGACCGAGTACAGAAAACGGTGCTGGTGCGATTTTTGTATTTTTTTATGCCGCTCTTGCAGTTTCCCCACTCGGTTCATATATATTTATTTATTTCTGATAAACTGTTTTTTTTTTCCCCCTCCTTTATCTCTCTCCCGCAGACATGAGAGGTTACATGACGGCACATGGACAGCCTGACCAGCCCAGATCTGCCCGCTACATCTTGAAAGATTACGTTAATGTGAGCCGTTCGTGTAATTGCGGATTATAAAAGGAAAAAAACAAACAATGAGCAAAGAGGATTATGCTGGATTTAAACTGAAGGAGCCCCCCCCCCCCCTTCCACCCCGCCCCTGCCCCTCTTTTTGAACATCGTGTAACAAACACCAGCGCCAGGGCGGTTTCTTTTTGATGTTTCGTTTCGGTGAAGGTCATCGACTAAAATGCAGGCAATACTCCGTCAAGCTCTACGGCAGAGCATTGCGACGCACATATTCATAGACGCTAAATACATCCAAATCATTTTTCGATTTAAAGCTTTCGTGACTGCAGGGATTCATATTCTTGGTTCTTTCGGTAAAGTCACATGACTTTACCGAAAGAACCAAGAATATATTGTTACTGTCAGCACCGTGCCACCAAGCCAAATTAAAATGTTCTGCACATACTTGGCTTAAAAAAAGGACCTATGTATGTACGTATGTTCAACTTCTTTTGCACCGTACATAGCCAACTGTGCCAATTGGAGGTGCCTTGTTCAGATAATGTCCGCCACTGATGTTCACTGGCCTGGCATAAAACGTAGTAGTGGTTCGTAAGTGGCGAGTTATATCTGATCCAGTCTTGACCCACAGCTTTCACTTACCCACTCTAACCAGTTAGGTGAAGTATGTTCAAACAATCCCCCATGACCAAAATAGAATGGTGCGGAGGCCTTTATCCAGCAGTGAATTGACAAGTTGTAAATTAAATGTTTTCTGCATAGAATTTTCATGAATTCTAAATTATTGTTTCTCACACATGCATGTATTATGTTGCATTTATCCTGAGCGTGAGGTTCGATATTGATCTATGAATCTGTGCGCTGATATGTGCCTATAAAGTTATTCGGTTGCATCTTCCTGATCTTGCTTCATCATAATCTCCCTCTGTAAACACCGAATATTAGTGTTGATGGGTATTTGAACAGCCCCACGTGTTCCTCAAAATTGGAGGAAAGTTATCTGGCTGGGTGACTCAGCGTTAGAGCATCCCACTTTGAAATCTGGTCATTGGTTGATTTATCTCGTCCCTCTGGAATGGATGGATCATTTGAGCTACTGCCATGGAAATGTAGAAGTTATACCACTGCCTCAAGAGCTGTAAACCACGTTTTTTATGATTGTAACTTTTATTCGTTACATTGAGTTTATTCTAAAATACCGACCTAATTTCCACACAACAGACTCGAGGTACAATTCCCCACTTGCACATAATGGTGTGCCCAGTGTTTTCATTCTTTCTGACTTACTGTGCCCTTGGGATCTGCAGCAGCCTTGTACAATCTCGGGACATGACCAGCTCAACCAAGCCCGCCACTGTGAATGATGTTTCAGAGTTGGGTTGTGGCCCGGCTGTGTTACAGGGGGTTCATTATTTTATTCACTTCACACCCTCCCGCTTAATACCACATGATAGTTCCAGCGAGTCTTGAATTAACCGACTTGGGTATTTGGCAAAAGGCCATTATTCACTTAGAATGCATGTAAGTGTACAGATAAATGTGTGTACTCTCACCGTGATGTAAATATTGATAACACAGGTGCTCTGTCCTAAACGGCTTGCACATGTTTTCTTAATTGAACGCCCATTTCAAATATTTACATTCCAATGTGCAGCATAGCCAATGTCCTAATTTTCCATGTGATTTGCTGCTATTTGTTAGGAATGCTCTGAATTTCATATTAGAAACGGTGCTAGGCACTTGAATTTCTGCAATGGACAACCTTTAATGCGTGGGATAAGATTGATGTGCACATAATGTGCCACGGTAGTGAGATGTTAACTATCTCGCCTTGCATACAGGAGGTCATGGTTTCGATCCCGACCCTAACAATGACTGTATATGTGGGAGTTTGCGTGATCTCGTGGTTGCGTGGATTTTTCTCCGGGTCCTCTGGGGTTTCCCTCCACATTTATAAACATGCTTGTTTCGTATTGGTCTTCTATAAATGTCCACATGAAAAGCCAATTCGTTGACCAAGCATTTGTGGCCAGTGCGCTTCTGAAAAATAGCTATATAGCTCTGGGCCTTACCTGGTAAAATAAACGTGCGATAGTTTTAGTTTAGCGTACACATAACAGGCGTCGGAGCTTGGGGGATTCCTGCAGGAATCGTTTCCCATTCTTACTATGCCCCCCTAGATGACTGCCCACAGCTATTTGACCATATTTCACATGTGGTGGGGTAAAGGGTAGGTACTCTCACCTCTTCAAAGATGCGTGGCCCGCGTGGAAGAGTAGGCCAAAATATCCACTTAAGTGGATGCCCTCCCCCCAACAGTGGCTTCAGCGAGCAGGTGCAGTGCTGCATCTTTACCCTTTGCCTTCCCCTGTACATTGGAAAGTGAAGACCGTGTGACCGAAATTCGCAATACAGAACCAGTTGCGTGTTGCTGCGCTTCCCACATGCATTTTTTGAAATATTTTTTTTATATAATAATTTATGAAAAGGCTAATACATTGTAGGATAAACTCTGGTGTATGTGAAATGATTCCCACTGATGGGGCATCCACCTTTCTGGTCCTCTGGTCACTCATTCCTGTCCTGGGCCATCTTCATGTCCACCCCGCAGTCATTCACACTGCGTTGAACCTCCTGTTGTCGGCGTAGCAAAGATCAAATAAATGAAACGAACAAAAACATTACACGCAGACTAAAAAGTTCCCAATGCTGTAGGCATTGACTGTTACAACACTGCTTTTGAGTGTAATCACGTTGGAACGATTAAACGCGTCAGATGTTAATGTGATTGCATGTTTTTGTATCGGTGGCAGGGTAAGCTGTTGTTTTGTTACCCTCCGCCTGGCTTCGACGTCAAAGCCTTCCAGCACCAGCACGTGGCCATTTTGAGTCCGGATCAGGCAACAACAGCTTCTGGTTCCCAGGGCTCCAAGCGCAAAGCCTCCAAGGGCAAGTGCATTGTTAACGAAGTGGACAAAAGCTTCTTCCATCAGGTGAGAGAGAGCCCTGTGTCAACGCCAGATCGCGTTGAGGCAATGCCTCTGCTGTTCGATTGCCCCTCTTATCCGATGAATGTTTATCTCTGAATTTTAAACAAAAATACACTGAAAATTACTCCATCGGAATCTACATAGCAATCATTACCCCCCCCCCCCCACTGAAAAAACTTTGCAGGATTCTCCTGCGAAAAAGAGTTGTGAGACTCGGTGAGGCTGTCCTGGGTAAACAAGGGTAACATAAATAAATGAAACCTTTTTCTCCATAAAAAAAGTATTTTTTTTATTAAACCACTAAAGAATTCTCAACTGCCCTTTGAGACGTGATTTTTTTTTCAGGGGAGTCCAGGCGGCTCTGAGAACCGAGCACTGAGCCAGCACTGCAGAGATCTTCAAGGCACAGCCACTTCTGGATTAATTCCTAAAGATGCCTCTGAACAAACCACCTGACATTGCTACTGTGTGCGCTGTAAATATCAGTAGTGTGCCAGTCCGTCAATATGTTTTGGCTTTTTAGTCCCGATTAGCACGGTTGGCTACGTGCAGTGTGAAAGAAGTTCAACATGTATACATAACGGATTTCTTTCACATTATTTTAGTGCAGTTGTTGGTCACTGCGAGGAGCAGTTGCGCAGCGATAGTGGTGTTGTGTTATGACTCAGCGTCTTGAGTCACGCACACATGGATAAGATCGGTGGTAAAGTCACATCTGAACCGGTCATGGCCTCCCCCATCGCTAGGCCATCATATGAGACCATCACATTCCCCACATTCAACCCTTCCCCGTTCCGATGATGCAACGTTCACGCCATCAGTTTTTCTTCAGATTCCATTCCGATGACGTAAGCATATGTCATCTGAACCGAACCGGAATGAAAAATAATATTAAGTAACTTCATCGTTACCGAGCCTCCCACAAGGCCAAGCGGGAGGGCGTGTGGCAGAGTTTTGTATCAGCTATCATAGAGTGTGTCCGTGTCGCTACGGTTCTCTGCGGTGAGTGCAATGTCTTTAAAAACAACGAAGCTATGCCTCTATAAATACAATTTATGCTGAACCACTTGCACTATTCCGAGATTCAGCGGTGAATGGAGCCCCACCCTGCAACTTGTAGCCGTCTCGAAACGGGAAAGGTTTAAGGGACTTGAACACGTTAAGAGTTGTACTCTTGAAGCTAAGCGTTATCGCCGAATTGTGCAAATAAATTGAATAGGTGTGGGTGAGTGAATCGTTACTACGTGCAGATCCCATGGTCTTTGGTCGGTTTGCTCATTGCTCTGACGTGGACATTATCATCCCCGTTGGTTTAAGTGTTCGCCCTATGGAGAGGCTGGCCTTGACCACACAAAGGTGAAATTTCCACCAGTGGTTCGGGGGTTACCAATCGAGATGAGCATTGTCCAGTACAAATTGGAACAAGGGGAAGTCGCTTGACTTTTATTCCTTTCGAGTGATACCACCACCACCACCACATCCTCTTTTCCTATTTTTCTGCTCCTGAGCGTTATTATTGTGCCCGTGCGCTTTTGACAGGACAACGTCAGGGCATTCACCAAGGGCGTGCGGGGCTTGATGGGTCCACATCCGGGCGGAGCGGTGCCGCACGCTGCCAACGCCACCCCGGCTGCCCCTGACGCCGAGGGGAAGCCCTGGAAGAAGCATGGCAACCGCAACAAGAAGGAGAAAGTGCGACGTCTGTGCAAACACCTGGACAACTGAGAGATGCGATGCTGCGCCTCGCACTGGTGACGACAAAAAGGGAGCTCAAAGAAGCTACCCGCTCGCTGGATCGCTTGTGTCACAACCCAACGTGTGATGTGCTTGCTTGTTAGATTGAACGAGTTGTGTGTGGATGTATGTTGAACTTTGTTCGCACCGTACGTAACCAACAGTGCTCATCGGAGGTGCGGGGGAAGGACAACTAACTCAACGCAAAAAGCAGTTCTACATAAATGCGTTTGTCGCCTCATTTGTGGATTGTTGAGTGTATGTATGTGCCTTTGTCGATCCACTGCCGGATGAAGGTAGGTCTCCCTACGCCGTGTTGGTAACACGGGGTTATATGACCATACTTCACCACATTGGTCGTCATGGAGACTTATGGGCAATGAGAGAAACAGGCTTTCGTTCCTCTATCCAAATAGCGGTAGAATACTTTTGAGTCCATCGTTCAGCCAGCCCAATGGCCTTCCAAAACTTGTGTTCTCCAGCAAGGCAAACATAAGCATCTAGCTGTGCGAGTCAGTGGAGTTCAGGTTTGTCAAAGCTAGCTGTGAACAATTGTTTCACACTTGTCGACCATGTACGTACGCTTTTGTCTTCTGTATTTAGTGAGCACCTTAATTTGGATTTTTATTTTGTATATGCACAGTGTTCGCCCCTTGAGGTACGCAAAACCACAGACAAGGGTGAGGGGGGAGGCAGCCAGAACTGGCGTCAACAATTGCCCAGGCGCTGTGGCCCCTATATTGGGATGTTTGGCCAACTCCGTTTCAGTTTTTATACATGTGGAAGGAAACCGGAGCATCTAGTCAAAACTACAGCATGGGAGAGTAGCCGGGGGGTGGGGGGGATGGAGCGGTTTGTCGGGGGGGGGGGGTGTTGGTGGGAGAGGGGGTCGACTTGGGAAGGGGTTACACTGAGTAACCCCGTGGAGATGGACGTTAATTAACTTGCTGTGATTCCATACCCTGGCGAGCCAGGAGATTGCGACCTTGATGCCCATTGGTAAGTAGGGAATTGACCGATTTCTGAGGTCCACCAAACCCTTGTCTCTGTCACGTGTGCACCACCTCAATGCAGGTGCCATGAGGAAAGATGCGAGTTGCTATTTGTCTTGTTCACAGTTGCTGTGTTGGTCATGTGGTTCACTTGTGATCATATACATCATTTATAAAGGAAATAAGAGTAATACTAGTAAAGCAGTGCTGTGGACATGTGACGTTTCATTAATTTAAATAAATTCTGATGGTCATGTAAAATTGTGTACGTGAGAATTATTTCCACGATGTGTAAAATAATAACATGGTTACATTGAGGCTAGCGGAGTGAACAAATGTCTACAAATAAGCAAGAAAAAAACCCCGATGCAGACGAGACGGTAAGAATGTCGACAAAAAGGAATTGATTCTTGAATTGAATTGCAACCACATTGTAGCAATCATGACAATGCCAAGTTAAAATAGTGTGCTTTAGTCAGCTGTGAGTGAATGCATGCATTTGTCTTATAAATATTTTTTTTGTGGAGATGGAATTACTGGGAGAAATAAGTGCCACAACCATTGTCATCTTTTCAATTTAGCTAATTCTGCTCTTCGTATTATACCCTGCACACATAACCACAATACATGGTCCTACGTGTTGGGAGTGATGGTAATCTTCCCTGATAGCCATTCCTAAAATCCATAGCCATCAATGTGAAAATAAATTACACTGATGTAAGTGTTGAATATTGGTTCAAGGTAGTTTATAATAATTATGCAGTGCAAAAGTGTTATGGATCGGTTATATTAGGTAACAGTGGGGGCTTGAAGCGGCGGGGAAGTGGTTATTACACTGCGCTATGAGGCCAGCAACGTGAATTTGATTTGGTGATTGATATCTGAACCGAGTCTGGCTTTTCCTTTACCACCTGACTTTACTAACCAACACTGGCAAGCCTGGTTGATCGTCAATCAATTCACAGTGCTGACATGGCATGGGGAACCCTTCACCGAGTAATGGAACGACAAGTCGGTGACTTCCTGCTCAAATTAGCATTGAAGCGGTGCTCATTTCCCATTTACCGCCCTGAGCCAATGGTGAGAATTCCACATTCCTGTGCCGGGGACGAGTATATCCAGAGGACAACCGCTGTTGACTTACGCAGAAAGCGGTTACTCCTTTTATCTTTTCTCGGCCTCGGATGATGGGCTTCGCTGAACCGCGAACCCCCGAACACGATTTGATCTTCCGATTGCGAACCGACTGCTCTGAACGCTGAGCACACCTGGCGGGATTGGTGAGTCGCGTGGTACGGAAGCTCATGCAAAAGGGCTTGAAGCCAGTGATCAAGTGCATTCTCGTGCGCTTGGCGACAGAGCATCATCCTTGAATTGACTGTGGCGTCGCCTATAATAAATAAGCCTTCAATTTACTTGAACCCAAAAATCAAAGTAGACAGGGCCCGAGGCATATATGAAGTATTCATTTCATCACCGGCGAAGCAATTCTGTTGACAGCGGCTGATAAACATTTCTGACCGGTGAGTTAAGGAGGACCCCGGCGGGCTACATCAGCACCGGTTTCCCAGCGCTCTCAGGTTGTCCCTCGTTATAAACATGTCCTCTTTACCGTCGATTGTGTGGACAGGAGAAGCATTTTATTCGCCGTTCGCGGTGGGAATGATCGCCCGGTGGAATAGTATTTATGATTTGCATGTTTTTATTTACGGGCTTCAATACAAACGGCTCCCAAGTGCATTACATACTCGTGCCGGCGATACAATATCACCGGGGAGAAGGGAAGACGAAGACGTGCGATAACATTGTCAACGGGACGACACAAAACGCACGCGTCACGATACAAAGCAGCCTCGCGAGCACAGGTGGGCGTAAAGGGTTCCCCCCCCCCCCAAGTCGCAGCCTATCTCTTACAATCCCGAGATGTAACAATCAACCGAACTCCTGCAACACGAGCTGATATCGATCCATTTGAATGTTGTGGACGTGCTTTGGGATGTCCAAGGGAATGTCGAGCCAGAAATCGAGGCCAGTCCAGTCCACATCCAAAGCTGCGCATGAAATCCATTATCGCACCCAAACCAACATCAATCTCTCTGGAAAGCCACAGACCGAATGAATTCTACCATCGATTGACGCAGTCCATTTGACTTGATTTTGACCGTAGACTATATGAAGTCGTAGTCACATCCTCATTATCATCATCAAAGTCCTTGAATTAAAGCAAGGCGAGAGTCCAATGAGATTGCAGTATTTCCTGAAGGGCTGAATTAGAATTATGAGTACGCCACGAAAGTGAAAATGAAAGCAGAAAGCCAGACAACACAGGAATAAAGATGCGCAATTAACACAATGTTGTAAATTTTGATTTAAAGCTTTCGTGACTGCAGGGATTCATATTCTTGGTTCTTTCGGTAAAGTCACGTAGAAGGGAAACAATAAAATAATAAAAATATTTATTTTTAAAATAATAAAAATATTTATTGTTTCCCTTCTACGTGACTTTACCGAAAGAACCAAGAATATGAAACAATAAAATAATAAAAATATTTTTTGTTTCCCTTCTACGTGACTTTACCGAAAGAACCAAGAATATGAATCCCAAGAACACAATGTTGTAATTTAATATAAATACTGCACTTAAGAAAAATACTAAAAATGTAGGCAGTGAACATTTGTTTTGTCTAATCATACCATGTAAACCACTGGTGGATTCACGAGAGATTGCATTGTGTCCATTATCGGTGCAATGCTTTGTTGTATTTGATTGTTCATCTAAATCTGCGGCAGTGTGCTGCACTGTGGTCACGTCTTGGTTGAATGACATTGGATTACATTGCGGACCAAGGAGGGAAAGGGCATGGAAACCTGGCTCACCAAATAGTCGTGAAAAACATCCTGCCTGGAAATTATTATCTTGACTTATTTATCCACTAAAGTCGCATCGAGTTCAAATGGCTTTTTTTTTTCTTTCCAGAAGGGTCCTGCAAACATTCAGTGGTTCTGGCCAAAGGAGACTGGATAATCCAGAAGAAATTCATTTGGAACAGGGGAAGAACACAAGCAACTCCATACAGAATGATACCAGAGTCAGAAATCGAACCCAGGTCCTTGCTGCGAGGCACACGTGTTACCATTGTAACATTCCGACCTTCTAATGGCACAGCGCATATGTGTAGAAACATATCAAGGTGTAGCCCTGTAATTCCTTTCTCACGCCACTGCTGGTGGAAGGGTCTCCACTCGAGAGGGTTCTCGAGACAGCCCCTGTACAACGTATTTGGCCTACTCTTCCACACTGCCCAGATGCCTTGGAAGAGATGGGAGTACCCACACTACACCCCACCTTACCGATTGACGAAATGTGGTGTACCCGGTTCATACTGCTGGGTGGGCAGAGGAGTCTTTAAGACACATGCACCAGCGTCTCAAGTGTGCTGACCATCACACCATTGCAGCATCCTTATTCCACGTGCAAGCTGCCCAAAGTCCGCTCAGCTTTTAGAAAGTGTTTCAAACAAGGCCTCAAGGCTGTCTGCATATGTACGGTAGCAAAATCACGGCGTGTTTAAGCAGTGTATTTTTTTTAATTTGCGTAATTATCACGCGCTTTCTGGCACACACAAGACGTTGGTAAATGGGTTACTAATGTATTGCGCAATGCTGACAAAAGTAATCGCCTTTATGATACATGTAAGAGCCCTGCTGGATGAGAGCCTCCGCCAGGCTCTGCAGGTCATTGGGGTTAGTTGGCCATACTGCATCATGCTGGTGAGTGCGGGTTGGTGAAGGCAACGAGCATAGGAAGGATAGAATTACGATACAACAATGGATGTTTTCTCTTCTGCCCTCTCATAACTACCACGTAGCCACAAAACTACAGTGATCACTACGTTTTAATATTTAGCGGATTTTTTTTTATTCCAGCAGTGGACACGAAACTCATTCCACGCGAGGTGTTGCGCCCTGCAGCATTGGGGCCGTCCATAAATGACGTCACGCACATCGGGGGGGAGGGGGGGGTCAGATATTCGTGACGATGTGTGACGAGGGGGGGGGGGGGGAGAAATGTGACGTCACATCAAAATGAGCAACTTTAAATAAATAAGACAACACGTTCTACTTAATTAAATAGACTTTTTAATGAATGTTTTCTCCTACAACATCAGAGTGCAGCGGCACATTAAATACGCACTACAATGACAATAGTTTAAAGCGATATTAAGTATATTCTTTCGGTAACGTCACGTAGAAGAGAAACAATAAAATAATAATT